CATTGGAGGTGATTAACAACTTAGTAAAAAAGTGTTTTTAGAGGGTAGCCCATTAGATTGATTTGTTGGAGGATTGTGGTGGCTGGTGGTAGCGGGTACTATATTGGAAGGGATAACAATGAAAATAAACAAGAATACTTGAAGGGAGGCGAAACTAGGTTCTTAATTTATGCATATCTACACACACACACACACATAATTTAATTTACTATATATATAAGGTGGATTGAGTTCGAACAGGTTTATGAATATCTAACTTGCTCTATCATGATCATTATTTCTTGTGAATATGAACTCGTTCTATCTAACCCATAATTTTTTTTTTTAATAAAAAATCAATTTAGGTCGATTTCAGATGGAACCAATTAATAGGTCTTGACGGATCTTGTCATTTTTACCAAAAATTCTTATTAAAAAACAAACTAAAATTTTCAACATGAACATTACCCTTGGTAATATGTAAACGAATTACTCTTGATTTTTTAATAACAATTATAATATTAATTCTAATTTATTGACTGTTTCTTTTATATTTTTATACTTACAATATAAACTACATTTATCCACAATTTGAAGTACTAATAAGCACAATTCGTTATGATAGTTGATGCATAAAGAAATGTAAATGAATATGATACTTGTAAATGACACATATATAAACTAAATTTATATTTATATATACATGAAGGGAGGCGAGTGTCACATTGATTATTAAAAAAAATTAACTAAATATTATAAAATTATTTAAAAATTATATTCAAACGGAAAAATTTCATGCATATAAAAATAAAAAAGAGGTTAGTAGGAAATCAAGAATTAACGGACCCTGACACCATAATTTTCAAAGTTGGTTTCTCAATTTCTTGAATTCTTTTCTTATTAGAAGATTGTGAACATGTTTTTGTGGTCTGCAAATTGTGATAGCTTATTTTCTACAAATAAATTTTAATAATATTATAACAAAAATGTTAATAAATTTAGATTAGTATATTATATTTTTAAAATAAAATTATATATTTTGTTTCTATATAAGCACTAATATTTTTTAAAAATACATCAATGAAATAACATTATCTCACCACATTAACTAATGTAGGTTCTCTTCTCTTCTCTTCTCTTCTCCTGAGCTTCCTAATTTTTCTCTACTCTTTCTGATATATCTTATCATATACACGTGGATTTTAAAGCAATACGACTGCAATCAAATTATACACCGTACTATATACTCCTTTTATCATTTCATCCCAAATTTATTTATCCCAGAATCTACAGTACTCGTTCACTGCAGGCCGGAGACGAATTTCACGCCGGTAGAAGGCAGCCATGAACTGCCGGAAATGAAGTTCCCAACGGTAAACTTGACAGCTTCTTCATCTCCAATAACATGAAAACCCGGCCACCTAACCCTACCGGAAGTTCCTGCTCCTGGTCCTGAATTCGAGTACTCTGCAAAATACAAACTGCTTATATAACTCTTTTCTCCCGGCCACTCAATCCACCCTTTACCTGCAATTGCATCGTCTATGATGGATGCCATCACAACCGACCTTGAATACTTCATCCATGGCCGCCCAAGATACGATTCGTATTTATGTTTTACCGGAGAAAATTCGGAGCTGGGTACGATTCTGCAGTTGTGAACAGAGAAACCCGTGTTCTGTCCCGGGTCGGATCTTCCGTTTGCTAGAATAACGTTGTAGCCTTTTTTCCGAGGAAGACGAAGAACCAAGTAGCAGTTTTGGAAAACCGCGGCGGCGTTTCCGAAAATGAAATCGACGGTGCCGTAGATGTCGCATTCTCTGTAGAATTGACGGAGAGCGTGTGCGTAGAGAGTATCCTGGTAACCCGCAATGCTGCACCTGTAAAGAACAGAGTGATCAGAAGCTATGTTTAGAGCTAAAGCTTGCTCTCCTTGTGGCCCTGCTGTGTTCTGAAACCCAATGTCGCGGGCTATGAATCCATCCCCTGTCATTGCTGAGTACAAAAATTAATTTCTTGTTAGTAAAAAGTTGAAAGGAAAGATTGAAGTAAATCATATTGAGAGAGGGAAAGAAGAAGATGACTAACTAATAGTTGCAGAGCCTGGCATGGTGGAACCTCCAGCAACACTATCATCACCGACAATGATGGTGGAATATTTACCATCTCCGATCAAAGTAATCCCGTCTTTATTACTGTGAATTTTCTCCTTATAAACTCCTGCTTTCACGTAAATCACAAACCTTTTTTTCCCATCAGCCGCATCCATGGCCTCTTTCACCGTCTGAAAGTTTCCCGTTCCATCTTTGGCAACAACCACGTTCGCCTTCACAGTGTTTGCCTCGAGTAGATTTCGGTCTCTACCCGATACCCACCTTGGAAATTTTCCTCCATCACTATAATTATTATTATTATTAATTATCCTACTCATCCTGTTCGCCATGGACAAAGCATTACTACTCAGTCGACTCAGATAATCCATTTTGCGAGATATCTGATGGGCCGTGGCAGTGTCGGCGAGACTCAGACTATCTACGGAATCCTTACAAGATTGTTGGAAAGTTATGGCGGCACTTATCCATGTTTGGATATCATGCTTCTTTTTGCTTCCATGAATTTTAATGGCCGACAGCGATTGATCTAGCCGTTTCAGAGACATGCTCGCAAGAGTTTCACAGTAATCTGCATGTGCCCAAAACATTCTGTTCAAACCCAACATGCACAATACTATACATATCCAATATCTCATGCAAGACAGTAAATATGCCGTAACCGAATTTTTGAGTCGTTAACTCTAAAATGAATTTGAGATGTATTTTGAAAATTCGAACCTGTTACATCTTGAAAGTGTCGATGCTGGTTAAAGACGAGCTGAGAACTGAACTTGGCGAAGAAATACGAAGAGGGCAATTTGGTTTCCAAGATAGTCTTGTTAACAAGAGCAGAGACAACATCATCTATGTGGGTTAATCCGAATTGATTCAATGTTTGAAGGCAGAGGGGAGGGTATGTAGCAAATTTGCATTGTGTTTCTATATGTTTTGGGTTTATTGGCAGTGATGAGGTCCCCCAAAAGGGTAAACTCACCAATAACCAAAACATCATACACCGCATTGTTGTCATATTTCACTCACTAAGGAATTGTAGGAATCCCACCATGCTCTATAAACAAAGAAATGTATCACTACTTATAGTAAGAGAACTTTGTATAATTATAGTTTAATTACCAGTAATTCTTGTTTATTTGAAATAAATAATGCAGAATTAATTTTATTTCACACTTAAAAAAGTTTTGACAGAAAGTAATTAAATTTATTTCAGACTTTGAAAAAGACTCGAAACTTTTTAATTACATCATCTCGGTTCAAGATTAATTAATTAATTAATTTATTTATTTTTTTAAATTTAGAATTTAGATTTGGATGAAGTTAGGTTTTGCTTGTAACAAATTTAGGTTCATGTTTGGTTGAGTAGGAGTTAGATAGTTCAATATTTGAATTCGATATAACCTATACATATAATATAATATAATATTTCTTGTGTATTCTTTTATTATACAATAAACACTAAATGCAAAAGGAGGATAGAAAGTTTTAATTATATTGTATAAAATGATATCTTAATGATTAAAAAAATAATAATAAAAATTATTTATTTAATTTTAAAAAATAAAATAAAATAATTAAAGTCGTAAGTTCTCAACCACATACTTTTGAGAAAATAAATTAGTTATTAAATATTCAAAGTATTTAAAATAATTATGTTAATCTATTTTAGAGTTAGTTTGGTGGTCTATTCACTTGACTCGCGTCACGTCGTTGTGAGATTCTTCTACGACCCACCTAAATTGGTTTACCCCACAAGTTTGTATATTTTTCTCTAGCAATCAATTTAATTTGGCTTCTACGAAGCTAAAATTTATATAACATAAACATATATATATATATATATATATATAAACATTATTTAATTTTATTTACATAATTGATATTTCTTTTATATATAAGATTTTTTCGTTTTGAATTGATTAAAAATATTGTATTATAATTTATATGTATATGTTGTTTAATTAGTAAAGTATTTAATTTTTTTTTTTACTAAACATATATATATATATATATATATATAGAATGATTTATTTAAGTTTGATTTCGATTATTAATAGAAATGACAATTATATGATAAGTTTGAGAAAGTTTCTTCACTTTAGAGTCCGTCGGCCACAAATTATGATGTTGATTTGTCATCCAAATTAAATTGTGTACGATTAATTTCATAAAAAAATTTTGTTGGATGTAACCATCAAATGGGGGAGATCTAAATAATTGCATGCATGTGAATTCGCCACTTAATTAATTATTTTAGAATAATTATGAGTATAAAAGTAGAAAATTATATATAGAAACTTTACTATATAAATATTTATCAATAAAATGTTCTACTTTTATTGTACTCCTAAGAATCTTACACCTCATCTTCTTCTATAATTTTGTATTTTCAATTTATCATTTATATTTGATTCATTATTTATGTACAAATGATAAGAAAATTTTATACTTTTTATTTTATTTTATTTATAATCATATTATCGTCATACTTATTTTCTTTTAAGTTTATAAAATGTTGTCCGCATGATCTTTTTCTAATGTTTTTTTACTCCTATGTAATCGTTCAACTTAATTTATTTATTATATTATTCTAATTCCATAATATTAATCATTATACTAGTTCTAATATTTCTATGTAAATCTTATTTTACTGATTAAAATTTTCTTATAGTTGGTTGGATTATATATATATATATACTTATTTTAATCACTCAGGTTATTCTCATACATTTTTGTTAATATATTTTGTTATAAGTTTTCAGTTCGTATCAATAAATTAATTCTTGAAGTTTGTCACTTGCTCAAAATATTCTTTTTAAATCATTTAAATATGACACTTACTCAAACGAAGTATCACAAAAATTTGTCTCAAGATAATAATTTTCTTTCATATAGTCAAATATTCATTTGAATTATCTGAGAGAATATTCTGACCATAAAAAAATATAATTATTCAAAAATGTTGGAAAACTAAACTTGATTTAATTTCGTTGGAAAATTAAGTTGGAA